TTTACATAACCAGTATAAACTGAACGTTAAATGTGCGGAAAGATGGTGCGACGCGACACCAGGATAAACTGGTTTTGTATAGGTTGATGTGTGGCCGTGTGTACTACATACAGAGGCCTTAGTACGAGTATGTTTTACGTCTAAAGTAATCGTTCGGCGCTGTGATTGGTTGATTCATTGGCGCCGGCCAATCAGAGTGCCGAACGCTTACTCGTTACGATTACTTTATTCGTGAAACAAACTTGTACTAAGGCCTCAGGTCGGTGTCTGTCACTTTAGGGGTTAAGGTGTTTTGTTCTTCTATGAGGGTGAGGGTAAAAATCATCAAATGACTTCTCCCGCCTTGACTAAGTTGAGAGGGAGTATCAGACTCTAAGAATAGTTTCTATAATTCACATAACATAATATCACCCCGAATGGGTAGTAGAGGTGTACATTACGGCATTTAAAGTCACTGTACACACAGCCACATATCAATCTATACAAAACCAGTTTATCCTGGTGCCGCGTCGCACCATCTTTCCGCACATTTAACGTTCAGTTTATACTGGTTATGTAAAGCTCGATGTGTAGCCGTGTGTACAATGTAACACCCACTTTTCACTATTTATGTTATCAGTCCTACGAGGTGAGCCTATTGCCATATACCGCCGAGCGTACGGCGCGTCGCGTTCCGCGCGCGCCTCAAAGAGCCATCAGACCACCACAGATGGGGCCCAATAGGGCTGTTGCCGATTCGGAGTCGCGGAGAACCTAACGGGTAACCGGGGCTCCGGCTCGACGTGCAGGAGAAGGAACGGGGTGGTTTTTAGTCAGTAAGAGTCTGACACTCCCTCCCGCTTCACCCAGGCGGGAGCAGTCATTCGATGATTTTCCCCCATTAAAAAAAAAATGCCATATACCGGGCATTCCAGTCTACGTGCTACTACTGAGATTTTTTAAAACCTACTGGGTTTACACTTTTCCCGACGCGGGAATCGAATCCGAGACCCTATTCCCGGCAGTCGCACTTGCGACCACTCGGCCAAAGAGGTTATAAATAAAATGAGCACAAAGATTTCATATTTTTTTATTATCGTAACACATAATAAATAAAATTGATCAGAGCAGTTTCACTAACTATTCAACGTTTGAAAAGACAACCAGCAAAAACTATTTGACTTAAGAATGGGAACAGCTAAGGGTCATATATACGGACTGTCTGAAGCAATCAGGATCGACTGCTTCAAGCTGCGACTGCATAGTGAACTACAGACCTCTATGGTACCTACATGACGGACAGCTCGGCAACAGCTGCGGGTGGTTGGCATATTTCATCGCTTTGACAATAAAATTCCCAGCCATATTCAATATTTGACCCTAAATAAAAATGACATTAAATTTATCTTTAATGAAATTTTTATTTAGGGTACATGGTAGTTTCATTTACAGTAAAGCTTTTTTTAAAATAAAAGACTAACTAAATGATGGTCAGGCTTGGGAATGAACTGCAGTAATGTCCACAGGTACGCTTAAACTGTAGTGGATCTTTCCTCAAAAGACCACTGCAGAATCAACTTGCACGGTTCTCACACATTGTATAATCTGTCTGGACTTTAAAAGAAACAATGACCTCGAAGTTTGTTTCGGCGTTTCTTCTCAGAGCAGTCAGTTAGGAAATGACGGCCTGCATCTAGTAATTGAAAGATTGTCGTGTGTTACTTTGTAACCAATTTGCAGAAATAAATATCATTACAATTAATTATTTCGTTATTTCATTTCATTTTTTCATTTCATATCACGTATGATAAAACATTTATCCGTTTGATCGTAGTCAAGCAGTCGTCAGGCACAGACTGCTCGAGCTGTCATTTAAGCATGTCATTTTTCGTAAACATTAAGGGTCGGTTTGTCAATCATCAGTTAATTTTTAACTGAGGAATAACTACTGCCATACTAAAAACTGTCAATAGTCAATTATATTCTCAGTAAAAAAATAACTGATGATTGAACATTTGGCTCTAAGATTGATGACTGCTCGTAGTAGTAGTTATCAATGGCAGCTTCAAGCTGTTCACTCCGTCTGCAATAGCGGTCCGTGTATATTTATCACAGGGTACACGAAAAAATGTTGCCCCACACTAGGATTTCCTCCTGTATCGTGGGTACATTTACAAATATACAAATTCACAAACACATCACATCCAGACTTGGAACAACAGTTGGGTACTTTCCTTAATCAAAAATAAAATGTTTCGACTGTACAATACAATAAAATATAAAAAAATAATCACACTTTCATTAATTGATTTTATG